TACCTGGTGGTGATGAAGGGTTGATCGGGAAGAGATTGGACCCGAAGAGGGGGAGAAGCGTTTATTTGGCAAATCTCGGGCAGTTGAGAAGGGGTTGCGGTGAAGAAGCGCGTCAAAAGGAGTCCAGTGGAAAGAAGCGAAAGGAGAAGGACCTTCCGATTTGTTTGACGGCTTCAGAGCCCGTCACGTGGTGGCTGGGGGTTAGGGTTTGGAGTTGAACTTCACGCTTTCACGAAGTTTTTTCCGCAAGTTTCTTAGCTAGTTTTCCGTAGGGGTTTCTGCTAGCTTGCCCTGGCCTTAAAAATGTACTCTGTTCGCTCTGGCTTTCCCAAAAAGTCTCTGCTAGTTTCCCATCAAATCTGGGGGGTTTTATTAATTATAGAGCTTTACAATTTTCTTGATTTTCGTTCTAAAGTGGATCGGCTAGCTTGCCTATGATGACACCGGCTGGAATCTATAGCCATTCCTTAAAGATCTCTGCTAGTTTGCCTCTCGATTTGGAATTTCAATTGCCAGATTTTTCTCTGCTCTTTTCTCTGCTAGCTCCCCTCCTACAAGAAAGTTATGGGCGCCAGCACGAGCTTTAAGAATTCGGATTCTCCAATTTTCTCTGCTAGCTCGCCCTTCTTGTGCCGGCCCCAAGTTCCCAAAATTCCTCCACTCGTTCGCCCCAAAAAGTTTAGGGCGCCCCGAGTGGTGTGTGGGCCGTATGCGTATGCATCCCTGGTCCAATTAGCCTTGCATTGAGCCCCCAGCCATAGAGGAAAGATGGGGAAAAGGGAGGCGAGGGTGGACCCTTTTGTTGGGCCCTTTCGATGGATAGAGCTGACTGACAAGCTGAAGGGGAGAAAGGTCGAAAAAGGGCCCAAAAAAGAGACGAAGGAGTAAAAAGAGGGACAGAAAAGCTCCCCTAGGGGGGAAGGGGCACACACACATCGAAAAGCCGATTGCAAAAAGGGGCGGGAAGCTTCTAGTATCTAGTATTCTCTCGTATTCCTCTCCCTCGTCATTCACCATTCTGCTACATCTATGCTCCACTCGAATTGGCACAAATCCACAAAGAATCTCTGCTAGCCTGCCCCCCGTCCATCCCCTCCAATTCCTCAAAGAATCTCTGCTAGCCTGTCCCCCGTCCATCCCCTCCAAATCCTCAAAGAATCTCTGCTGGCCTGTCCCTCCATCCCCTCCAATTCCTCAAAGAATCTCTGCTAGCTTGCCCCCTCCATCCCCTCCAATTCCTCAAAGAATCTCTGCTAGCCTGCCCCCTCCATCCCCTCCAATTCCTCAAAGAATCTCTGCTAGCCTGCCGCGAGCATTCTTGTTTTTTCGAAAATTTGCATCTATGAGTCAAGGTTCAAAAAACCACGTGCTTTTTGAGTCACCCCAAGATCTAGAAATGAGTCATGGCATCAAAAATTACACTAGTTCTGACAAGCAACGTGATTTTCCTCAAAATCTCTGCAAATCTCCGAATTTTTGTCGAGCTGCCCAATTTTTTCTGCTCTTCTGCCCAATTCCGTTCCCGAATGCTCTCTGCTAGCCTGCCCTAATCCAGATAGTGCCCATCCCAGCCAGCCCACCATCCGTGTCAGCTCTCACTGCTAACCTGCGCGGTCGCTTTCCAAAACGATCTCTGCTAGCCTGCCCTGGCCAACCCATGGTTTCAATCGAAATTTCCCCTAATTCTCTCCGCTAGTTTGTCACCTAGAATTTGCTTTCCCATAGATTTCCTTTCCCATGGTAATCCCCTTTGGATGACTAATTCATCCTCCATTCTCCGGCCATCGGGCCGCGCGCCGGGATGCAAATTAGGGGCCGGCGACTAGCGAAAAAACGGGGTGGAACACGAGGTGTTGGATGGGCCGAAAACAAATTTTCGCTCACTCTCTCTCTCTTTCTCTGTCTCTCTCCCTCTCTCTCTCTCTCTCTCTCTCTCTCTCTCGGTCCCTCTAATGATCCACCTCTAAATATCCGTAGGGGAGGATGTTCCTCCCCTTGGTAAATTGGATTTTACCGCCCGGTTAGAGTGCAGTTTACCCCCCCACAGCCGCAACTTTACAGCCATACGTCCTATTAATGCGCCGAGTATCTCAAAATATTCGCCGTGGTCGAATTACTATAAAAAGGTTGTTTTCTTGCGGCAAAAATTGCTAAAAAAATTTTTACAAGATTTTGAAAGTTGAAAAGATTAAGCCGCTATGCTCCGATGTACTAGGAGTCTAAAACTCAAATATTTTTATTTTCCGCAATTTTTTTCGACTCAAACGTAATGTAGGCTTATTCTACAGAGCAAGAGCTACATTTTGGTACTATTGACAGCTCTGTACGTCAAAAGATAGTCGAGATACAAAACTCACTTTGGAACGGCAAAAATTAAGTAAAGAAAACCCAGACTTATAATTGTTATAAAAATTTTTCTAACAATTTTTGATGTAAGAAAACAACTTTTTTATAATAATTCGACTACGGCAAACATTTTGAGATACTCGGCGCATTAATAGGACGTATGGCTGAAAAGTTAGGGCTGGGGGGGGGGGGTAAACTGCACTTAAGCCTGCCACCCTCTTTCTTCGCCTTCTGGTCACGTCGAAATATTTGAAATTTGCCTTATTTAATTTTGGGTGGGCAAAGGTATGGGGGAAGAATTGAAAAGGCACCTAAAAGTGCTTAATTTCGCGGCTGGCTTAAATGATTGCTGCTAGGTACTGCCGACGAATTTGGTTGTGTATTTGATCCTGCTGACCAGAATTCAAACATTTTCAAATTGAGCTTTGAACCTATTTTGCCAGTTTTAGCCGCTGATAATTTTTTTTCCCGGCCGATAAACGGCTCTTCTTTCAAAATACACTACGTTGGATCGTGCACGGGTCCACGAAACTTCGAAATGACGCTCCCTACCCCCTCACGTGGCGTCTCGCATTTTCACCGCGCCGCCGCCGCCGCCTCCGTCTTAAGCCCAAACACAAACTAATTAAAGAAATTCGGGGTACCCAGACTGTTCCTCCACCATGAGAGAAGCTTTTTCTTCTTTTCTTTCTTTTTGGCTACTCTATTTGCTTCTCAATTGGCTCCATCGCCCTTCGGAAATTTGCGCAAAATCTTCCGCCGCCCCCCTTCCACCCAACTAGCTATCTGCATTCATCAGCCCGTTACGGTCATTACCGGGAGCTTTTCCACCACCAAAGCTCAAAAATTTTTCATTGGGGTTTTCTACCGTATCTGTAATATATTTCAGAGAATTTTTATGGAATATATCTAAAATTAATTAATTTCTATTCCAAAAACCTTTACTTTAAAAAAAGCCGATGAAAAGCCGTTTAAAAACCTTTTAAAATTGGGAAAGAATCCACATTGTGCGGCTGTTTAAAATCACGAAAATCCGCCAAATTTACTACCGTAAAATGAATTTTAAATGGGCTTTGACGGTTGATAAGCGTCCTTTAAAATGCCGCGTGGCTGTCGAGACCTAGTCGATAAATGAGGTCGAATATCGCTATTACCAATGCCTTTAAAACCCCGCATAAAGTGCATAGGTATGTATTGTGTTGTGTGTGTGTTGAGGGGGGATGAAGTGTGACTAAAAGGGCTCTCGTATAACCCCTTCAAAAAGAGAGAAAGAAAAAGAAGGGGTCCCAAGCAACGCCATCCACCCCGTCCACGCCCAACGGCTCCGATTTCAGCGCGAAAAACGGAAGGCCGGCTGCCAGCCGCCGGCCAGAAAAAAATACGCCATTTGGTTTCTTGGTGCTTTCCCAAGGGTCTGGAGATTTAGAAGCCAAAGAAAAAAAGCTGATAGTTTTAAATGACCTTATTTTCTTTCCTGTTTTTAGTTGGAACTCTTGGCGCCTTGCCAGCCATAAAATGTCCCTTTTCCTTGCCTTCCTCGTTCCTTTAAAAGCGCTTGTAAGTGCCACACTCGACCTCTTGTTTCGACTAGGTCTCGACAGATACGCGAGACGCTTTTCGTTTTGATTTTCGTATTCCATATCCCTTGACATGTTTTTCTCTATCTATCTAAAAGGCTCTTTTGCGCTTCAGAAATCGTGCCAATTACTCTATTTGAGCCAAGAGGGCCATTCCGTTATTTTACTATGCACCGGGCTGCGCCGTAAATTCTCCCCCAAATAGCATAGCGACCTCAAAAAAATGGCAGGCTTGACGCGATGTAGGTGACCGAAACAGGATCGCCAGCATTTTTTAATCTGAGTAATTTTTGAATTTTTGAATATTATACTAAACCTAATTCTTCTCAAAACTTCCTAAACAAAATAGCAAAAAATGCCCAGGACGTCCGAAAGTTGCCTACAAAATCCCTAATTTTCCAATTTAAAATCTTTATTTTTGCCGAAAAAAATGGATACGAAACGGAGGGGTCGATGCCGGAAATAATCTAGTTAAAGGGGCTGGCCAGCAACGAGGGGGCTGGCTTTCGCCTCTCGGCCCTGATGCGCTAGGGTGCCACCGGGTCGATTTTTACAATTTTCTGGCTCTCTTTCTCATTCTCCGCCTCACTCTCGCTCGCTCTCTCTCTCTCTCTCTCTCTCTCTCTCTCTCTCTGTCTCTCGCTCTCTCTCTGTCTCTGTCTCGCTCTCTCTCTCTATTCATCTCTCTCGCTCTTTCGCTTGCGGTCTCTCTCTCTCCAGCGCACAGGTCTCTCTCACACTCGCTGTCTCGCTCTGGTTCTCTATCGCGATCTCTCTCTCCCTCTCTTGCTCTATCGCGCTCACTACCTCTCTCTCTCACTCTCTCTCTATCACTCGCTCTCTCTATCCCTCCTTCCCTCTAGCTATTTTGATCACTCTCGGTAAAAAGTTTTTTTACTTAGGTACTTAGTACTTAAGTTTTTTACTAAAAACCCATATTTTTTTGAAAGGAATTGAACCCATTATTGCAATCCCATCAATACATTTGCTTGATTTTACCGGTTTTTTATGCCGTTTCTTTGTTGCCATTTCCCCCCTTACAATTCTGTGTAAATGCCATTTCCAGCCCTCTCCAAAATGGCAGCCGACGGTGCGGGTAAACCGTTGATGCTGGGGGTGAGCAACCCATTTGCCGAGAACCCGTCGATGATGACCCTCGCACAGTATCAGGACTCCTGTATACCAGGTACGGTAGCTTTCTTGAAAATTGGATTTTTGTGGATTTTTTTGGCCGAAACTTAACAAGCTACGCTTCGATTCTAACTGATAGCTTTAACTCAACTTGCGGGGAGACTAATTTTTTTTTTGGTTTTATAACTTTGTCTTCTTTTTCTGCAATACGAAATTTACAAATTGTAGTTTTTGAAGAAAGAGTGAGAGTAAGAGAGCGAGAGAGAGAGAAAGAGAGAGATAGAGAGAGAGTAGAAAGCACGCGTAAGGGAGAGCAAGAGAAATAGAGAGAGCGCGAGTGAGCGAGAGAGAGAGAGAGAGAGAGAGAGAGAGTAAGTGAATGCGAGAGAGCGTGATAGAGATAGAGCGTGAGAGCGAGAGAGCTTGTGTGAGAGAGCGAGTAAGCGAGCGAGAGTAAGGGAGAGCGAGAGAGCATGAGAGAGAGCGAGTGAGCGAGACAGAGTGAATGAGAGCGAGTGAGCGTGAGAGATAAAGTCAGCGCGCAAAAGAGAAACCGAGAGTGGGCGAGAGGGAGAGAGAGGGCGAGAGAGCGAGAGAGCGAGAGAGAGCGAGAAAGCGAGAAAGCGAGAGAGCGAGAGAGAGGGAGAGAGAGAGTGAGAGAAGCCTTGCCTTGATCAAACCTTAAAAATCCCAAAATAACAAAATATTAACAATTTCCCCAACTTGCCCTAGCTCCCCCCTCCTTTTTAGGCATTCACGGGATTAAAGGAGAAGGTAACCCCGGTGTAAAGAGGTGTAGCCCGTAGCTCGACCTGTCTATTAGTGCATGCGGTTTCCGAGTTTAATTTGGGATTGACACTTTGAATTTTCCAATACCTTTCTAGCATGTGCTGTCCTTCGATTTATCCTAAAAATCATTTATTTTAGTCTTAAAACAGAAATAAAATAAAATACTTTATTAAAATAAATCAAATTATGAATTAAAAAAATAAGCATGTATCAGGTTGGATAATAAGTTCTGTCACAATTTTTTGAAATAGCTCGTTCAAATCACAGATGTTGCCAATTTTGGAGTTTGAGATATGGTTCGATAGGTCTCGCAGCTCTCTATCCTGGGAAGACCATCAACTGACCCAAAAACTGATGGGCTTCGAGATACAGGCCGAAGAAGTTTTTCGCAAAATCATACAAAACGGATTTTGCAAGTTATCTCTTCATACAGCAATTTGCATGCGATACCTTTACCGCGAATCGATAGCTTTCGAGGAGTAGATATCGATGGATGTTGAGATCATCAAAATCGGACATCAGATGGCCAAGATATGGTCCCCGGAAATTTGGCCCGTTCCTTAGAACTTTTTCTCGAAAACCCATACATTTGGTCAAAATGCTCCCGCTTGTTTCAAAAATCAAGCGGTCAGTTTTGGCTCCGGTTGATCAAATGTATGGGATTTCGAGAAAAGTTCTAAGAAACGGGCCAAATTTCAAGGGGCCATATCTCGGCCATCCGATGTCCGATTTTGATGATCTCAACATCTATCAATATCTACTCCTCGAGAGCTATCGATTCGCGGTAAAGGTATCGCATGTAAATTGCTGTATGAAGAGATAACTTGCAAAATAGGTTTTGCATGATTTTTCGGAAAACTTCTTGAAGCTCTATCTCGGCGTCCCTCCAGTTTTGGGTGCTAGGAGGGTCTACCCTAAATAGAGCTCGATGAGACCTATCAAACCATATACCAAACTATCAATTCGGGTACGTCTGCAGCGTTAACAAACGATTCCAAAAAAATTGTGACAGAACTTATTATCCAACCTGATAGTTGCCTCTGCCGTATCTTAAAAAATCATTGAATTATTTTGAATCCAACTGATTATTTAAGCATTTAGCTATTTTTAGATAAATAAAATATGGGGAAAATCAGCTATTTTTTGATTGTTGCCAATAGATTCGTGCTATTTAAATTAAATTCAACTTTCTTTTTGTAAATCTACAAAAACAAAAATAAGAAATTTATCGCGGTACAAAAGCCGTTCTACAGTAACCCCAAGAAAATTGACTGTTTTCACTTTTTTGGATTTTTCACTATAAATTTGAGTTGTATTTTCAGGTCTGTAGCGAATGATTAGCATGTAAAAACGATAGAAAAAGTTACGGATTTAAAAAATTTCTAAAATCCCGATTTTTCAGTGAGCATGGAGTTTGCAAAGTCGAAGATGCACTGGATCATCGCGGCCATATTCTTGGTGGCTGATATGGTGGGAGGAGGGGTGGTGGCTATGCCGGTCGCTTTTAAACAATCGGGTAAGCTGGCGGGGATTCTTTGGGGAAAATGGGACTGGGGCAGGCTAGCAGAGAGCATTGTGGAAATTGAAAGCTAGCAGAGATCTTCGGGCAAGGCAAGGTGGTAGAGATCTTTGCAGAATTTGTGGAAATAGGCTATCAGAATCCGTTATGGAAAGGGCAAGCTGGCATAGATTATTTAGGAAACGGCAAGCTAGCAGAGATCATTGGGGAATGGAAGGGGCAGGCTACAGAGATCATTTGGGAGAGAGAGCGAGAGAGAGAAAGAGAGATAGAGAGATAGATACATCGATATACAAAAATTCGAAAACCCATGATTTTGCAGGTATGATTTGTGGCTGTGTGTTCATGCTGGTGATCTGTGTCATGTTCGAGTATACGGGATGGGAGCTCGGTGAAGTGTGGGTCATCATGCAGCAGAGGTGGCCGGTCTACAAGCAGCATTGCCGGAAACCGTTTCCGGAAATGGCCAAAAAAGCGATGGGCACCACGGCACAGTCAGTCTTTTAACGATTTCGCGGGGTTTTGGAGAACGTTTTAACTACCAAATTTTTTGTTTGCGATTACTAAAATTTTTATGGAAAACTGCCGTTCTTTTAGACGGTTAACCTCGCTGGCGATTCTGATCACGCTGTTTGGGATCTCTGTCGTCTATTTGCTACTCTCCGCCAACATCATCCACTATTTTCTTGCCGACTATTTGTATATTAATGTGAGTTAAAAATTAAGGCGTTTGGAAAGAGAGCAGAGATCATTTGTGGAAAGTTTTGAAGAACAGAAAATCGACCCAGCCGGATTTCCTATAGGAAAGGATACAAAACGACCTTTAATCCTGGGCAGGCTAACAGAGACCATTCGCGGAATTTTTCTAGATTCAATTTCCAGACAAGCTAGCAGAGGATCTTGAGGAAATACGAGCCCTGTAGATAGGCGCTGGCTCGGCGCGCCGTCCTTGACAATCTCGGCCCCTTTCCCTCTCCGGTCTGCCCATGTGGCTCATTGCCAAAATGCCCACCCCCCAGTCGACAGGTCGAGGGTTCGACCCCCCGCGGCGGCTTCCCCAAAGCAAGCTGTGGGTCACAGATGGGCCCATCGTTTACGAGGGAAGCAATAATAAAGAGGCCTGTATGCCGGGACACGGCTTCTCTGCCTTGTCCCTTTGATATGGTCTCGACAGTTTTTTGCGTTTTTGGGAAATCGTTCTGCTAGCCTGCCCCCTCCATCCACTCCAATTCCTCAAAGAATATCTGCTAGTCTGCCCTCATAAAAACATGACCAGGCTCTTGCGAAGAAGCGACGAATTGAAAACGTTAAAAGCGATTTCAGATCTCCGTCTGTGGCACCATCTTCCTGTTGACGCTAATCGTCGCCCCGTTCACACTTTTGAAAAGTCCGGGCGATTTTTGGTAGGTAAATTGGCAGACAATTGCCTTTTGAAGGGAATGTCCGAAAATCGCCCCTACCTTGACTAGGTCTAGACAACCACATTTTCAGGCTTGTCGTTGTGTTTGCGATGGTGACCACCGTCCTCTCGGTGGTGCTCATCATCTATGGCGTATTTCTGGACCATGGAGCCTGTCTACCGGAAGTGAAATACCAGGAATTCGAGCCGGGCAGTGCCTTGTTGGCGATGGGTAAGTTAGCAGAGATTCTTTGCGGAATTGGAGGGGATAGAGGGGGCAGGCTAGCAGAGATTCTTTGAGGAATTGGAGGGGATGGACGCGGGCAGGCTAGCAGAGATTCTTTGAGGAATTGGAAGGGATGGACGCGGGCAGGCTAGCAGAGATTCTTTGAGGAATTGGAGGGGATGGACGGGGGCAGGCTAGCAGAGATACTTTGAGGAGTTTTGCAATTCCAATTTCAGGAACCTTCCTGTTCGCCTTCTCCGGCCACTACGTTTTCCCGACGATTGTCAACGACATGCGACACCCCAAGAAGTTCAAGCTGTCCATCATTTGGGGATTTTTGAGCGTGCTGTTGTTGTACATGCCGCTGTCGATCTACGCCTACTGGGTGTACGGCGACTCGATGGAGAAGAGCGTCATCTACAGGTGCGTAACTAGGAGTTTTTTGGCGCTTTTGAAGGGCCGTTGAAGGCTAAAATTCATCAGCAAACCGGTCTAAAAGCGACCGGAATCTTCCCCTTCCATGGACTGGGCATAGACAGCTACGCGACGCACCAATATGCGCATAAAAACTCATGTCAATTTTGCTGCCCGACGCTCCGTCGTTTCGACAATAAAATCGATTTGCCAAGTGGCATTTGGCGCATAGCGTAGCTGTCTAGACCCAGTCGATTGAAGGGATCGATTTTTGTAGTTTTTTGAGACCCTAAAAAAGTAAAAGCCGAAATTTCCATACATTCCACCCAATTTATCGTGCCATTTTTAGCGTGCAAACCCGTGAGCTGCAATTCGGCGCGAATCTGATGATTGCGGCGCATTGCATCTTAACGCTGGTCATCGTCATCAACCCGGTGAACCAAGAGATCGAGGAGTACTTCCAGGTTAAACATAGTAAGTTTTCAAAGTTTTTATAATTGTGGTTTTAAAAGTAGCCCTTCGTTAACGATAAAATGACGAACCGAAGTAGTAAAACTTCATTGTTTAACTGTAA